AAAATAATTTTAATTATATGGTTCTAATCCATGAACCAAACAGACTTTAAAAGACTCTAAAAGTTCTCCTCTCTATATTAATTGTATGACGGAGTGAGGAAACTCTAACCCTCAAAATCATGACTGCAGTCCTCTCTATGAAATCAATGCACATTCCTTCAACAACAAAAACAAAGATATAGGACAAAATGAGCGGTCAGAAGAATTTAAAGAAACCCATTTATCAACTATACCACTTCTAATAATTTCTTTACATACTACTCAAAACCCTCTTGTATACTTCTATATTTACCCTCCCATCCCAGTGAAAAAGAAAAAAAAAACAAAAACAAAAACAAAAGTAACCAAGAATCTAGCCCCACTCTTTGCGGTGGATTAGAATTTTTTTTTAAAAAAAAAGAAAAGAAAAGAAAGAAAGAAGCTAAAGTAGAAATCATATATGATCAGAGTTTGAGTATGAAACAAGTGATTTCTTTGAGATCAGAAAAAGAAAAGGGTCATCATGCACCGGGTCAGCATGAAAATTACATACCAGTATTAATGGGGGGTTTTGTAGTGTAAGTACTACTACAGTCTTCACCTCTCCTCTAATAAAAAGTAAAACCTAAAAATTATAACATAATATATATAGCTATAGCTAGCAATATTTGACGTCCTCCTTAAGTCTTCTTTCTCTACTTTTGCTTGAGCATATGCGAGGGGACAATGTCCTGAAGAAGGCCATGGTCCGTTATAAGCAAATTAGCTGGCCCTGTAGGGGTGCAAAAGCGTCTCTCATGAAGAAAATTAGCAGCATTTGAAATCGAATCGCAACCGAAATTATTATTTGAAGGCAATGAGGAGGACAAGGCATGATGATCAGCGAATTGTTGTTGTAGTTGTTGATGATGTTGATGCTGGAGGAATTGATAGTGAGATGGTAGGGGTGACATTCTTGAGAATGGCATGGCGAAAGTGGGCCCCGCGGCTGCCGGAGGAGCGCCGCCGTGAGTTAATTGGCGAGAAGTGAGTGGACTCGGGTGAGTGTGTTGGCCTTCGTAAGTGGTCACCACCACATTTGGGTCACTGTACGATCTCTCTACTCGCTTCTTCACATTACATGATGCACTAGTGCAACGATAGTAACTCCTACATATATATATATATATATATA